GTCAAGGCAACTTAAATCAATATGAATTTTTCAAAAGCAAAAATGATCAACATAGGTATTGTATAGAACATCTTGAGAATTTCAAAAAGTCAAGGATCACCTTAAAAAGATAAAAATTGGGAAAATTATGACCATTGAAAGTTAGGAAATTTTGAGCAAATGCATGAAGGTCAAATTGAGAAAGCATGATATTTTGGGCTATTGGGCCATGGTTTAAGAGTCCAAACGTGTATTACACTCTTCATACACCTCAAACCTTGCTCTTACACCTTTTTTCCTTTTTTCTATTTTAATTGTTTTAATTATTTTTTATTTATTCATTAATAATGCAAAATAAATAAAATAAATACATAGGCCTTTCTTACAAAGACCAAGCCCATTCCTTTTGCCCTAATTTTCACTATAAAATCTCATCAATTCTCATACAAGGCCACACGAAAAAACCTTGCCTCAAACTTGTTAAAATTTCCAAACTTTTTTCAAGAACCCTAAAAATTCAAAGCCCTACTTACAAGCCTTCTCACTACAAACAATCACTCTATTCACTCTTAACAAGCATACATAGTAAGGTTGGAATCGATTTTGAGGTTCCAAAACTTATGAAGACACCATACCATGCATCTCTGATTTCATAATTTTGAAAATTTCATATTTTAAATTTTGTATCGTTTTAAATCATATTGGTGTTACTAACATGTTTCTGAGGTATGTCTAAACAAATTTGGACAATCACAATGATCCCATGCAGTTAGAGTTATGAACCACCATGCTAGCACCGATTCCATGCGTTTTCTCCATAGCTCTTGATCCCTTGCGTTTTATCCTACAAAAATACTTCCATTAGATTCGCAACCCTTGATTTAGGGGGGTAGGACGTTTTTGGATCATTAATGCTTTAATTTTGCAGGTTTTGAAAGAAACAGGTCGTCGGAGAAGACGGCCGGAGTTAGGGCTCCGACACCTCTCTGGTGAATACATTTGTTTATATATTATATATATTTTGATTCATTTAGGTTAATGGATGTATTGCCACCCTAGTGGCATAAACGCGCGCTAAGGCATTGGTCTCCCAGGTCACGGGTTTGATCCCCAGTTTTGCCAAAATTCTCACATTTTCATATTTTTTGCAGGTTTATTATATAATGCACTCATCTTATTATCCATCACGAAGGGATGCTTGGCCTGGTGGTGAGTGTGTTGCTGAAAAGCCTTGAGGGCGTGGGTTCAACACCCACCCCTACTCTTTTGGTTATTTTCTATGTTTCTCACTCTTTTTCACCCTTTTTTTCTTTAAAACCTTTTTCAAAAACATTTTTTTAACAAACCTTAATTTAATTTTAAGCTTTTAATTTGATTTTAGTTTTTTTTTAATTTAATCAATTTAATTTAATTTTAGGTTTTATTTAATCAACCCTAATTTGATTTTTTTAGGTTTTCTCGATTAAATTAAAATCAACCTAGATTTTAGGGTTTGCTTAATATAATTACCTAACTTTTTTTAATCAATTAAAATCAATTATGTTTTTTAGGTTAATTATCAAACTTCTTTTTCATCAAACAATCACCAAACAGTTTTTCCGTTTCTTTTCCTTTTTACCACTTCGCGTATTACTTTCGCATTATTTTTTCCCAATTATGTATCTGCGACAATATATAATAGTTTAATTAGGACTTTGCTTTCTTTTCCCCCCGATTTTATGGTTTGTACCCCCACTCCCGAAGTCTTGTAATAGCGTAGAACTTTACTTTCCGTGCTTTACTTTTCCTGCTATTACTTTACCATATTGTTGCTAGTAATTAGAGTTTTTATGGCAAGACTAATAATTGAACTTAGAAAACCCTAATTTTCAAAGATAAAATAACTGAATCAAAGCATTTTTCACACACTCACCTCTAGAGTAACCTCATTTGTTACCTCTGAAAATGGTCATGTCCCTCGAAAATAGGGATACCCTTAGCAAAGACCCTCGGTTAAAATCATCATAAAGATCATAGTCCTGCGATATCCCTCGAGTTGTCTACGAGAAATAATCTTGTCCCTGATGTTGCCTACGAATATATGATGACAATCCCTTCGAATTTATAAGGTAACCCTCTGTTTCTTAAGCTTTTCACTCGGCTGATTTCAATCGCAAGTAATTTGACCCCAAATCTATCTTCACAATCCTCCGGTTACCGCTACTTGATTAAGCAAACCCACAGTTTCTTAATCCTTTCACTCGACTGAATTCAATGAAGAAAAGACTTGTGCAAAAATCCCCGCACCAATAGGAATCTTGGAGGATAAAAACCAAACGATTTTATTCAAGAACAACCCACACTTGCTCAACCCAAATCTGAATTGAATCCTTGATTTGAACGTTACCACCACAATACTTTTCTTGAATCAACAACCATGATTATGTATAGATGTTTATTTTTGAGAATAGAGGATGAAGATGATGAGCACTATGTGTATCTTTCACTAGTTCTTGTTGACTGCTCAAAAGGAATCTAAACTCTATTTATATGTGTTAGTGAAAAACCAATAATATCTGAGAAAGAAAGAAAATAAGACAAACAGAATTTTGAGAGTGTTAAGTGAGCGGTCAACTGCTCCAGAGCCTTGAGTAGGCGCAACACAACTCGCGCCAAGGAGATGAGCTAAACATATTGAATGCATCGACGACACCAGAGTCTTGGATCGGTGCAACACAACCCGCATCAAGGAGATGAGCCAAACAAATTAAATGCATCGACCGCACCAGGGGGTTGCATCGATGTAGCCTTCAATTTTCTTTGACAATCATGTTGAGTCGACCAAGGTATCGGTGCAACACATCCAGGGAGAAGCACAAATATTTGAGTCGACCGGAGCTAGTTTTGCGTCGACGCAGTCTTTGTTTTTCCTGTCAAAAAGGTTATTTTCATCCAAACTTGCATCTCATACTTTGTCTCAATATATTTTATGTACCACACATGTCATTGAGGATAGGAGAGATTTTGACATCATAAAAACATGAATCTTGCCATCAAATTACGGACTCCAATTCTAGTCACATAATTTCCAAACCTCTGTTGGGCAAGATAACATGATCCTGCAATTCAAAACCTCAGACAGCCAATTCCAAATTTTAACTGCAAAAGAACATTAAAAAAGATGAAAAGTGGACTCTTCTTTGATACAGCACTGACTACATCTCGAAGGCATCGAGCATCCTCATAGTTTAAGATTCACGTCCGTGGGAAGTCACCAAGAAACAAATGATTTTGCAGGTGGTATATCGCTGCTCCACACAAATTTAGTACAATGGGGCTGGTTGTTCTTCTTATATTTGAAAGAATAAGCATCTTTTAGTGAAAGATTTCCTGTTTCAGAAGTTGTCCACACCAAACAATCCTCTTTGTTATCTAAGGATAAAACCACTTATTGCACAATGACTGAAATATTTGGACAATATTCCATCACCTGCTGAGGAAGATTCCAATGAGGATTGTGAATGTAACTTGATACCATATAATTTAAAGATGACCGCCAAGCTGCATGTATATTAAAGAAATCAGCCAGACAAGTTGTGCCACATCAATGATCTAGCCAGAAATTGGTTTTGTTTCCATTACCAATCAGAATTGTGGAGTTTATCTTAACAACCTGAAACCCATTCTTAATACCACTCCAAATAGTAAAAGGAATGTGATGAGTGATACATCTAGTACCTCTTAAAACCCGAGTCCTTAGAATTTTAGCCCAGGGATCATTAGACAACAACATATCCAAGCAGAGCTTCAGATTGGATGCCTCATTTAAGGATGCTAAAGACCCTCCCTCGGAAATAGGCACGCACACTTTGTCCTAAGCCACAGTGACTAATTTCCTCTTGTTGACATCCCCAGACCACAAGAAATTTCGGATACAGACCTCTAATTCCTTTATTAATGAAGGTGGCTAAGAGTATGTGGTAATGGAGTAAAACATCATACCTTGAATAACCCATCTTATAGTTTGTGCTCTACCTGCATTAAACAACAACTCAGCTTTCCAATTGGCCAACCTATTATTGATCTTGTCCACCAAGTATTGGAAGTGCAACCTATTAGGCTTGCCTCTAAAAATAGGTATGCCTAAATACAAAAAAGGCAAAGTACCCAAAGAGAAGCCAATAAACTGAGCAAGATCAAGCTTCCTTGACTGATTCATCCCACCATAAAAAGTGGTTGATTTATCAGGACTAACACATTGCCTTGAGCAATTAGCATAACTAACAAAAAGGTTTTTGAGATTCTGAAGATTACTATTCCTACCAGTATAATAAATCATAATATCATCCGCATATAAGCAATGTGAAGGAAACCTGACTCTCCTAAATCTCTGCATTAGTTTCAGTTTATTCTCCTCCACCAGTTTGGAAATCTGCCTGCTAAGAACCTCCTCAGCCAGGCTGAAAAGCAAAGGTGAAAGAGGATCACCTTGCCTTACTCCACGAGAGCAATGGAAGTATCCATATAAGGAACCATTGATAGAGATAGATAATGCTGCAGATCTAAGGATAACTTCAATCCAATGACAGAAAGTTTCACAAAAACCAAAGGCCCTAAGAACCTTTAGAAGGAAAGGCCATTCTAAAGTGTCAAAGGCCTTTGTCACATCAATTTTTAAAGCAATATTTCCTCTAAAAGATTTGTTGTGCAAGAAGTTTACCACCTCTAATGCCAGGCAGGGGCAGTCTTTAATTTGACTCTCTTGAATAAAGCCCATCTGTTCCAATGATATTAAATCAGGCATCATGGAAGCTAACATGTCAGCTAGAATCTTGGTAATCACTTTGAACTTGAAATTGGCTATTGCAATTGGCCCGTATTGCCCCCAAAGAATCAGCACCATTTACTTTAGGCAAAAGGGCCAAGATATTAGCATTGAAATTAGGCAGCAACCAACTAGTTTTGAAGAATTCCAAAGTGCTAGTTCCACATCTTTATGAATAATGTCCCAGAAATTTTGAAAGAAAAAATCTCTGTATCCATCAGGGCCAGGTGCTCCATCTTTGTTCAAGGAAAAAACAATATTTTTTGATTTCCAGAGATGATGGGAGCATAGTCAACATAACATTAGATACCTCATAAACCAGATTTGGAATGACATCATCAACAAATCTCTGGTCCTGCACAAGCCCACCATTGGAACTGAACAAATTCTCAAAGTAGATGGTGATATGGTATGTGGTGTCTTTGTTGTCAGTGAGCAGCAGAGAGGAAATGGCCTTGGTGGTGTGTCTGATTTTAGCAAATCTGTGAAAATAAGTTGTATTCTTGTCCCCATCTTTGTGCCAATCTGCCTTAGCCTTCTCCTGTCAGAACCAATTCTGCCTAAGTAAGGCCTCATTCAAAGAAACTTGAGCTTTCTTTTCTAAGTCACTTAATTGATCATTGAAACCATTAGTATGAATCTCATCTTGGATTTCCTGCAACTAATTTTCAGCCTTTGTAACCTGCTCATGAACATTGCCACAGATTTCCTTATTCCAAGTCTTGAGCTTTTCTTTGAGCCTTTTGAGTTTAGTAGTCAAGATGAACATGGGACAACCTAAAACCTCTTCTTTCAAGGAGTTAGCAACTACTTCTCTGATTGTAGGGTGCAAACAACTTGAGATTCAATCTTTCCAACCAATAGGCAGGAAATTTATCAAAACACATATTAAAAAAAAATATAAAAGTAACATAAAATAATGTTTTTACTCTTAGAGGAAGGGATTACTTTTCTTATTCCCATTTTGGCAATTCATTTGATTTAGAATATTGAATGAAGGGGACCAATCGTACTTTGTGATTGGCTAAATATAGTCAGAAACATACAAACATTACAAGATAAATACCGCCTCCTCCTTTTCTCTCTCATCTTTCTCCTTCCACTTTCTCTCTCATTCATTCATAACATCTTTCAAAAGGAAATCTAAAAAAGCTTCACTTATAGCATAGCATCATCCTTTTTATTTATCCCCTTATCTTTCCTTGTCCCTTTCAGTCGATCTTCATTTTTCATCTCAAACAACACCATAGCCACTTCTCTTGTTTGAATTGCGTGCAAACATAGCTACTTTTGTTCCTCTTGTTGCTTCTCTTACAAGATCTTATCTCACCCCAGCTTTGTTCCCAAGCTGAAACCTTTTCTTTTATCTTACAAGATTCTCTATTTTTTCCCTCATATAATGGTGACCCTTACCCTTTTCATCTATTTACAGTAATAATAATGGATTCCAATACTCAACAGAACCAACCCAATTCTGGGTTGCTTCGTTTTCGTTCTGCACCAAGTTCACTCTTTTCAAATCTCACACCTTCTTCTTCTGTTGATCATAATAGCAAAGGTACTAAAGATTTTTGGGATGATTCTGAATCTGAGAGATTGGTTTCAAGGTTTGTGAGTAACGACAATATTAATATGTCTGGTTCTTCTTGTTCTAAGGAGATGAGTGGAATGAATTCTTGTTATGGTGGTGGTGGTGGGTTGCCACCTCACTATCCTAGACATGGTTCTTCTGCTACTTCGAGCTCTCCTATGGATGCTTCTTTTGGGTTGGTTGGTTCATTGGGAATGGAGCATGAAACATCTCATAAGAGCTTTGGTTCAAATCTTCTTAGGCAGGGTAGTTCACCTGGTCTTTTCTGCAACATTTCATTCCAAAATGGTATTTTATTTCTTCTTTTATCTTGCTATTTCAGTCTGCTAATTTTGTTTAAGACTTTAAAGCTTCAAGATATGTTAGTATGTAAGTGGGCCAAATTTAAACCACATTTCTTAATAGGTATTAGAGCCTAATTCAGGATCCATACAATCCACGCTATCATGTTTCTGATTCATATCCACGCTCTATACGTGTTTCTGGGTCACCCATCATTCCTATCCACGCTCTATACGTGTTTCTGGGTCACCCATCATTCCTATCCACGCTCTATACGTGTAGTCCTACACTTGACGGATGTGTTAAAGAGTCTCACATCTAACACGGTTCATATGTGGGAGCAATTTTTATTTTACAATACGTTTCACTTGGGCCCAAACATAATTCAAACAATTTTTTGTTGCAGGCTCTTCTTTTCGAAATCTTAATGTTTTGCTTTCTCAGTTAGTTCGGTGAATTGAATCTCTACAGTAACTGCTAATAGGATTTAAATGCAGTCACATACAAGCTTAGAATTTCTAGTTTATATGAAAATAGAAAGTAATGGTTGTGGTGGGGACATATAAAATTTATGGTAGGTAGTACTTTAGAAAAGTTAATGAACAAATTGGGGATGAAAATGAAATAAAATGACATGCCCTTTTTCCTATCTCACTGGAAAATTAAATGTTAGTTTCCTAGTTTGAATTTACAACATCTCAGATTTAAGGAAAAAGTTTTTTTTTCTTTCTAATGTTATATTTTCTGAGGGGTTTGAATGATTCAACAATTTGATTTTTCTTGTCACTTATATGATTAGAGAATCAATATTAGAAATCTAGGCTTGGGTTAAGCGATTTTCTGCAAAATTTCCATGAATTGGGACAAACCAACTCACAGAAGTACCGCGAATTGGTATGCGGCTATCAATTTGCTGTTCTCTAACCACCAGAGTTGTCTTAAGTTTTCAAACGTCCTATGTAGGTTAATCACGATTTAGCTGTGACAAACCAAATAGAAGCTTTGTTTTGTTATAGTTTAACCGTGATAAATATTTTATGAGGTTTTTTTTTAGCCACGGTTTAACCTTATTATGTTTTTGGCCTTGTGAAGTAGTTTGCCTTGCACGCCCTCAAAGAGTGCCTTGTTGGTCACTATAGCAAATGACGTGACTAGAGCATCTTAATACTCTTTTTTCTTCTATGTACAAATGTTAAGATAATTTTGTTTATTCTTAATGCCAATTGATGATAGTATTTGTGAATTGCAGGGTTTGCTGCTATGAAGGGCGTGGGAAACTATGTTGCGATAAATGGAAGTAATAGCGATGTTAGTCCGTCCATTAATCGATTGACCAGTCAAGTTAGCTTTCCTTCAAGAAATGCATCTTCCTTGGGAATGTTACCACAAATCTCTGAAATCGATAGCGAGGATATTGAAGCAACCAGCCCTGATGACGGAGGCAGCAATGGTGATACTATGCATTATGGTTCTGGATTTCCCTACAGTTCTTGGAATGATACTCAATCATTCTCAGAAAATCTCAGTGGCTTGAAACGAGGACGAAGCGGCAACGAAAAAATGTTTTCTGATTTTCAGGTATGCGTAGAATGTTTTCTTCTCCTGTTTTGGATTTCAAGTAAGTTTCGATTCTTACTTATTCTAGATACTAATAATATCTTGTCCTATTTATCAGAACGGAGGACTAGGAAATCAAGTTAATACATTATCACATCACTTGAGTTTACCGAAGACTTCATCAGAGATGATTGCTATGGAGAAGTTGTTTCAGTTTCAGGACTCCGTTCCTTGTAAAATAAGAGCGAAACGAGGTTGTGCTACTCATCCTCGAAGTATTGCCGAAAGGGTAAGAAGAACTAGGATCAGTGAAAGAATGAGGAAATTACAAGAGCTTGTTCCAAACATGGACAAGGTACTATGATTAGACACATCAATTTTGTTTGACCTAGGAACATATTGGATAATTTTGTTTGACATTTCTTCATGTTCTTGGCAGCAAACTAACACATCAGACATGTTGGACTTGGCTGTTGATTACATTAAAGAACTTCAAAAACAATTTAAGGTACATATATAAACAAGATTTAATTTGGTTTTGGTTTCAATCGTAATCTGTCTAACACTGACACCTCTGGAAAAATTGCATGTTTTATTGGTGACACTGACATGACACCAACACTTATGACGAAAGTTTAATTTATTAATTTATTAAAAATATTATCGGTATTGATGTGTCCGTGTCGTGTTCGATCTCTACGCATCATATGAAACTGCTTATTTTTCAATTACTTGTTGCAGTTTCTAAGTGATAAACGGGCAAACTGCAAATGTATGAGGATGCAGAAGGAAGATACAAATCAAATTCCTTGACAAAAGTTTCTTATGCAAAGATGGATTAGGATCGGATACTTTTATGGCTATGCTGAAAAATAACTAGAAACAAACAAAGCTAATATAAAAATGCTATTGTTGAGTGTGACACTTAATACAAAGCATATAATATAATGTAGGTCCTCACCACAATGGAAAAGTTCTTTAGATTAAAGGGGTTGCAATTACTGAGGAATAATATCGAATATTTATTTCCATTTTTAATTTTGTATAGCATTGTACGAATAAATGTTTACACACTAATAAATGATTACCCTTGACGCATCGTTTTATTTATGTTAGAAATTAAAAGTGGATTTTAGATTTTGATAGGATTTAAAATAATTTTTATCTATTTTATATTTTATATTTATAATATCGAATTTTTTTAATTATTTTTTATAAAAATAATAAATAAATAGTTTGTTTAAGGCTGCTCGTCAAAGTCAACTAATTTACGATTGGATAAATTCAAGTTAATAAAAACGAAATGACAAATCACAAAAACAACAACCCAAAGGATATACAAATATATCAAAAACCACAAAAGAAATATTGGTTTTATAAAGAAAAACTTAAGTAATTAGTTAAACCACAGAATTCAAGTTCACATTATAATTGAATTTTTTTGACCCGGTCCTATAAAATCTGATGCTCGTGAATGTCAACTGCTTTAAGGTACATGAATGTTATATATTTATGCTCATCATAAATCTTATCAAGAGTGCCTAATTTTGAATATCACTTTTTTTGGCTTGCACCCAAAATTAACTTGTTGTGTAGCTTGCTTTCCACTAATCTTGACCCTTTATTGTTGTCTCTTTAAAGGCATAGGCTCTTTTGCACTTTGCGAAAAAGTGGGCAATAGTATAACAATGGAATCGATGGGAAAACAGGAAAAAGCTTCTTGTTCTCCATCGCTATATATCCATTTTTCTCACTAGTCATTTATATTAAAAGTAGTTATCAATGTGTATTTTACATATTGTTCGATATAATATTAGTTTTAAATGTCAAAATAACATAGTATTTACATTTATGAATTGAAATATACTTTTAAACCATTTGAGTTTGTTTTATTTATATATGGAGAGTTGGAGATATTGGAAAATATTTTGATAGAAAATATAGTTTGTTATTAAGAAGTTGGGTACTTATTTTTTTCGTAACTCATTTGTAATTTTTTGTAGCAATTCTTAGATGTATAAAAAATTAGATAGTTGCTTCATCTCCTTAAGTAGATTGTTTCATTGAACTGGATAAACAAGTTATTGTATTTTTTTTTTTTGTCTTTTATCTTCTTTTGTCATGTTAAGTTGATTTCTCATTGTATAATGAGTTACTTTTGCTGAGGGGTATTTATTTTGATTGTCATTGTTCGTTGTTCTCTCACGTCAAATTTTTTAGCGTGATTAAACTTTTCTTTTAACAACAAGAGGTGTCCATCATGGGACAAATGATTTCTGGTTACAAGTGAACATCACGTGTTCTAAATGGAAGATCAATAGGTTTTTTAGAGAAAACAAATTTGGTTTGTGGAAAGTGAATATGCAAGCAAACTTAACTCAAAATAATGTTAGACATGTGACTCCATACATAATATGTGGGGTAAATTGTGGAGGTATGAAAATCGTTAATTTAAAACAAAATTATTTTTAAATCATAGTTTAAAAACATTTTATTAAAAACGTTTGAATAAGTATGCAGCGAAATATCAAAGAAAAGAAGTTAAGTGAAAAATAGAAGAGATAAGAGAAAATAGATGACACCAAAGATTTATAGGGTTGTTCTAAAACAGACCTACCCCTCTCCCCAAGAATGGATCTTGAGAGTATCTACTATTGTTTGAGATTTTTTAGAATGTTAAGCTCACAAACCCACTTATATAAGAAACTGAAGTTTTCAGGATAAGTTCCAAATGGGTTTCACACCTTTTAATAACCAGACAAGTTTCCAATTTTTTTCTTGCATGGACTTATACTTCTCCTTCATTGCTTCAATGCACTTTTTTGAGTTGGAACCTTGCATGACTTGGCGGAAGTTGATTGGGCCATCTTACATCATACTATTATGTTCTCATGTTCTTGGAGAAAGACTATGTAATAATATGGAATAACATTTCTCCTTTCTCTAGTGAATCTTTGTAAAGGTATTGATTCTGTAACACTTGTTCTTGAGGATTTTGAGTTTGTTTTTTATGAATTATCAAATCGTATTGAGTAGGAGGAAATTCAATAATGTCTTGTAGATGTTCCATGCTTGCTTGATCAAAACCAACTGTATGAATCAGTTTTGGAATTGTTATCGATTCTTTAACTAAAACAAAGTCTCTAACCTTACTCTTCTCCTCAAACTTAATTTCCTCAAAGAGTGTGATTGTTCCCACCTCAAAAATTAAGTTTAATTAAGAATCGATTTTTGTTCAGTCCAAAGCTTATAAGGTGTTTTGGCAGCTGCCTTTGTTGGTACTCTATTTAGAAAGTAAGCGGAAGTCTTTAGTGTCTATCTCCAAAGTTACTATGGAAAAATAAAATGTGTTTAACTTGAGAATTTACACACAAGAGGGGGTGAATTGTGTGTTTTGAAAAAATATGGTTTTGAAAACATTTTAGAAATAAAAATAGTTTGAAAACATTTTGCAGCAGAAAGTAAATACGAAAAATAAAAGTTAAAGGAAAAGAGGAACACAAAGATTTATAGGAGTTCAGTCAAAAGGAAAAATACCTACTCCTCTCCCCAATAATTGATCTTGAGAGTTTTCAATAATAAGTTGAGAGCTTTTAGTAGAAAAGACTCACAACCCCCTTATACAAGGAAATGACTGTCGATCTTTAACCAAATAATATAAGACGATGGATATGGGTGTTTGCGTCTTTTCTTCAATTTAACATTGAGAGTGAAGTGGCCAATCTTCCTTCGTAAAGGGAGACTGAAGCGGTTAGCCTTCTTTCCAGAAACATAGACATTGGAGCGGTTAGTCTTCAAGTTATAAAAATCGAAGCTCAATACCTTGGTTTAAACGAGCTAACCAAAAACCTGTGAGATTTTAACATCGAGCTAATCTTGAATCTATAAAGCTTTTAATACAAATATGAGTTTTAAAATATCTTGGTTTTATTTGGGTGACCAAGAACCTTGAAGATTTTAACACTAGTTGATCTTCAACCAAACCTAGGACTGATAACACAATCCCCAAATATAAGTTTTCTACAGGATTAACTTATAACCCAAATAAATCTATAAATGGACAATATTCAACCAAGACGTATATAAAATATTCCCTTGATGAATTTACAATTCTATCCTTTCCAGAATTACAAATATATCCTCACTCACAAAGGAACTTTTCTCATAAAGGTATTTGACTAAAATATTTAGTGAGAGAAAGTTAAATAAAACTTTAGAGAGAGAGAGAGAGAGTGTGTGTGGGAGATAAAAGTGTCAAAACATAATTCTATATGGTTTTGATTGAAAAAAGGAACCTCTATTTATTGCCATGAGGTTGACTTAAAAATGAATTTGCAATCAATGTATTTTACCGTTATCTAATTGATTAAAGCATGTTCATAATCGATTAGATGGTACAAATAAATGTTTGTAAGTTCTTAAAATGTAAGGTTAGGATATCTAGCCATTTCATAGAATCAAGAAACGTTTGAACTAGCTTGGGATTTAAGTTTGTGCATTTCTAATCGATTGGGCATTTGCTCAAACCGATTAGAAAAGTAAAAATTTCGCCCATGGATATTTGATTGTTCCTAATTCATCTGAAACAACTTCTAGATATTTTTTAAAGTACTTTATTTTGGTAAATCATTTTGATAATAGTTTGTGTGTGTGTTTTAGCCTTGTGCTTTTAGGAAAAAAGTCCCTTTACTTTACAAATGTTCACTCACTTACTAAATTAGGAGATTACTCCTTTTCTACAAGCCTTTTCCAGATACTCCTTTTAAGTTGACACTTATTGATATCACTTTATATGTGGTTTTAGATTATTCCCATTTTATTTTCCCACATTGGATAGTCAAGTTCATCAAACCATAATACATAAGTTTACATCTTTAACATATTAACTATTCATGCTTGACTTATCATAGTTATCATCAGTGTTGTCACCATAGTAATTCTCATTGTAGCAATTGTCATCATCAAAAGTAGATGTTTTATTCAGAGATTATTACCTACAAAACAAGGTTCCACATTCTCCCTCTTTTGATGATGATAACACATCTCTCAGTGAAGGTGGTAAAAGAAACAATATAGATATATTTGGAGTAATTAAACTCCATCTGAGTTAGATAGAAAATATACCCTCCCCTTGAGAGTATACTTCTCCTCCTTTGTCAAAATCAAAAATACGGGCAAAGATGCATTGTGATAAATAATATACAAAACAAGGGCAGTTAAGTCTTTTTAAAGAAAGAAAACACGCATATTATTAAGAAATTCAAATTATAAAAATGGAAATTGCAAGAAGGAAAATTAATCTAAGATAAGGGAAAACATTTAAAGCTTGTAACACAGAAAGTAGAGAAAGCACATGAGTAAGTTCATATATTGTCTTAAGTATCACCCTCTTGAATATTTCCTTTATCTCTTTAACTTCTTTTTCTATGTTTTGGAAAACTTCTCAAACGTGCTTTATGTCGATGTCCTTTTTCTCTTCTTCTTCTTCTTCTTCTTCTTCTTCTTCTTCTTCTTCTTCTTCTTCTTCTTCTTCTTCTTCTTCTTCTTCTTCTTCTTCTTATTCTTCTTCTTATTGTTGTTGTTGTTGTTGTTCTTGTTCCGAGTCGTCTCTTAGTTCTTTGTATTTTATGTTGATCTTCATGTTTTTGAGGTTGGTGTAGTCTATTTAATTATTGGATAAAATTGATCTTTCTCCTCGAGTATCAATGTTAAAGGCCTTAATATTTTTGTAATCATTGCCCCATATGAAATATTTAGTTAAGGTTTTTCTCTTGAGAGGGACATCTGATGGAATATTCCGTCCACTCAATTTG